ATTTATCCTCATACAAATGTAGAAAGAAAATAGGTTGCCACATGAAAGGAGAGAATGTCTGTCTTGTAAATTAGCCTTCAAAATCCTGTTTTTTTATTTGAGTTCGGATACTGGCTGGTAGGAAATATGCAACAATTTAATCTGTTGAAAATGATCGAATTGATGTTTTTTATCATTTCACCCCAAAACATGGCAATAAAGCCACTAAGACAGAAATGGGTTATTTGAGAAAGAAAGAATATAAGAAAAAGAAGGGCCTTATTAAGGAGTGAAAACAATAAAAGAACAGGAATTAAGAAGACGGAAGATAACGATTGACATTTCATTTACATTTTGCAGATCAAACTTGACTGGAAAGCAATAAACCGGAAGAGAGTTCGGCAATCGGGAAGTGCAAAAGAAGAAACTGTTAGCATAGAACTTACGGTTAAATCTAGACATTTCAACTGTAAAATGATGAGACTTTGCTGCCAATGGAGTATAGCGCATGAATTCATAAAGTCAAGATACCATAGATGACAGTTCCTCAGAATAATTACTATGAGATGATTTACAGAAAAGCTAGATTACTCGGCAGAAAAAGGGACTGAAGCTAAGATACCAGGTCAGAACCAATGACTGTGGCAGCCATATTCAAAATATAAGTTATGACTGTTCATATATATTTATCCAAATATAAGTGATTTTTTTAGCCTTTTTAAAATCTCATATCTCTTCAGGCTCATGACTCTCCTCTTTTTCCTTTTTTTCAGTGAAATGATATTGTTTCTCGGGGGAAGAGAATGTATTGTTTTTTCGTCACGTTCTCCACAGTGTTGAATTCAGAGTAATATTTATCTTATACTGGTCACCATCCAAGGCTAGGGGGCTTAATTTACCCTGCTATTTATATGGGAACTGGGTAGGGAAGAGATGGATTCATGCCTTTCCCATGGTTATTTGTGCGCAAAAAAACTCAACAAACTACAAAGGAATTTGAACTCGGCTTACCTAGTCCATTTCCCAGCCCCGATAACTGCTAGGATACCTGCGCATCATAGAACCACTTCAGGACCAATGTGTACATAACACATAAAGATTTTTATACTTTTTACATTATTCGGACTATTGTCCTCATCTTTGTCGCCATATTTATTACAACGTTTCGGCCTTTCAGTATCTGTTTATATTTCTGAGATGAGGCATTATGTACACTATTTACATTATTTGAACTATTTTCCTCATCTTTGTCACAATATATTTGTTTATAAATGTATCGGCCTTTCAGTATCTGTCTATATTTCTGAGATGAGGTATTATGTACATTATTTACATTAGAACTATTGTCCTCATCTTTGTTGGCATATTTATTACAACGTTTCGGCCTTTCAGTATCTGTCTAATATTTCTGAGATGAGGTATTATGTACACTATTTACATTATTCGAACTATTGTCCTCATCTTTTGTTGAACATATTTAAATTACAACGTTTTATCCTTTCAAAGTATCTGAAAATATTTCTGAGATGAGGTATTATGTACACTATTTACATTATTCCTGTTTTTTATTGAGTTCCTCATCTTTGTTGGCATATTTATTACAACGTTTTGAAAATTTCAATATCTGTCTATTTTTCTGTCATTATGTACACTATTTACATTATTTGAACTATTTTCCTCATCTTTGAGAACCATATTTATTACAATGTAGGGCCTTTTCAGTGAAATCTGTCTATATTTTGAGATGAGGTATTATAACGACATTTATTTACATGTTCGAACTATTGTCCTCATCTTTGTTGGAAGAGAGTTCGGCAATTTCGGCCTTTCAGTATCTGTCTATAGAACTTTTCTGAGATGAGGTATTTGTACACTATTTACATTATTCGAACTATTGTCCTCATCTTTGTTGGCATATTTATTACAACGTTTCGGCCTTTCAGTATCTGTCTATATTTCTGAGATGAGCATTATGTACACTATTTACATTATTTGAACTATTTTCCTCAGGTTTGTCACCATATTTATTACAATGTATCGGCCTTTCAAAGTATCTGTCTATATTTTGAGATGAAATATATGTACACTATTTTATTATTAAAACTATTGTCCTCATCTTTGCTGGCATATTTATTACTTTTTTTCGGCCTTTCAGTATCTGTCTATATTTCTGAGAATGTATTGTTTTTTATGTACATCTATTTACGTAATATTTATTCGAACTATTGTCACCATCCATCTTTGTTGGCATATTTATTACAACGTTTGGGGCCTTTCAGTATCTGTCTATATTTCTGAGATGTTATTATGCAAAAAAATTTTACATTATTAAAAAACTATTGTCCTCATCTTTGTTGGCATATTAATTACAACGTTTCGGCCTTTCAGTATCTGTCTATATTTCTGAGATGAGGCATTATGTACACTATTTACATTATTTGAACTATTTTCCTCATCTTTGTCACCATATTTATTACAATGTATCGGCCTTTCAGTATCTGTCTATATTTCTGAGATGAGGTATTATGTACACTATTTACATTATTCGAACTATTGTCCTCATCTTTATTGGCATATTTATTACAACGTTTCGGCCTTTCAGTATCTGTCTATATTTCTGAGATGAGGTATTATGTACACTATTTACATTATTCGAACTATTGTCCTCATCTTTGTTGGCATATTTATTACAACGTTTCGGCCTTTCAGTATCTGTCTATATTTCTGAGATGAGGTATCATGTACACTATTTACATTATTCGAACTATTGTCCTCATCTTTGTTGGCATATTTATTACAACGTTTCGGCCTTTCAGTATCTGTCTATATTTCTGAGATGAGGCATTATGTACACTATTTACATTATTTGAACTATTTTCCTCATCTTTGTCACCATATTTATTACAATGTATCGGCCTTTCAGTATCTGTCTATATTTTTGAGATGAGGTATTATGTACACTATTTACATTATTCCAACTATTGTCCTCATCTTTGTCGCCATAGTCCGAATAATGCAAATAGTGTACATAATACCTCATCTCAGAAATATAGACAGAACATTTTTATATGTAAAAAATATTTGCTCTGTTATAAATCATGTATCTCTCTTTTTCATTCTTTTGATCTCTCTCTCTCTCTCTCTCTCTCTATATATATATATATATATATATATATATATGTATGATAGGATAAAGAAAAAATAGGACAGATTTATAAATTTAACGTCTTTCGCTTTAAATAATCTTCATCAAAAATTCTTGTATTTTTATTTTTGCGTTTGTTTTTCATTGCTTAAGCAGACATTACGTTTATTTGTCTTGTCAAGCAGCGTTCGTGTGTATAATTCGTGTGTGCTTGTACATCACAATTCTAGTCGGTCTATGAGGGAATTGGTTGTTAATGTGTGTGCGTTTGTGTACGTTTGAACGTTTAGTAGTCATTTTTATTTCTGTCTGGTAGGGTTCATAAATAGAAATACCCACTCAAACATTCCCCCCCCATACACACACGCAAAATAACACCCATTGATATCCGTAAATATATACAATTTAACGTATTTGAAGGTGAATAGACTTTTGTTAATAAAGTACTCAACTGATTCTCAGCGCAATAATTGTTGCATTAAAAATGTGAAACGGTCTGGATGCCTATCGAAGACCGACTTAAAGTTTCACTATATCTATATTTGTTTTACGTCACTAATAATATATAAAAAAATGTATATTAGTATAATTTTAACCCCTCCGAAACGAAACTGCACTTTTTTAGTCGACTGAGAGAATCTATTTTGACTTCAATCAGTATGGCTGATGCTAACCTCCAGGGTAGCGACTCATTGCAACTTCTAGGGCTTAGGCTTTCTGCTAACATCAAATGGGAAGATTATATTGAATCGATTACTTAGTTTGTTGCTAGGAAAGTGGGTGCAATGTGTCTTTCTAGACAATATTTCTCACCAGAATCTATCTTACATATTTATAAGTCTACCATTCATCCACTCATTGGATATTGCTGTCACATATGGTCTGGTGTTTCTGCTATGAAATTATAAATTCTAGATATTGCATCTGCAATGTTACTGATCCTGACCAGGCATCTCAGCTTCAGTCACTTTCCCACCCCCGTAACTTAGCTTCCCTCTGCCTTTTCTATAAATATTTTCATGCTAATCGTTCTGATGAGCTTTCCCCTTTGGTATCTCGACTTTACGAATTTAAGCGTAGTACTAGATTAGCAGCTAGGTCTCATATTTTTTACTGCTGAAATGGCTAGACTTAACCGTAAATTATATGTTCACATTTTCTTCTCTCGCACTTCTCGCTTGTGGAATTCTCTTTCGGTTTCTTGCTTTCCTGTTAACGTTGATCTTAAAAATTTAAATGTAATGTCAATCGTTAACTTCTGTCTACTTAATTACTCTTCTCTTATTGTTATCTTGCCTTTAATAATATTTTTTCTTTTTCTCATATTATTTCACACTTAGTAACCCTTTGCATCTTAGTGGCGTTATAGCCTTGCTTAGAATGAAATGATTAAAAAAAATAATCCTGGAAAGTACTGAAAGCAATGAAAATGGGAGACACGGTGAAGAGAGGAGGCACGATGGAGTGGGAGGAACAGTGGAGTGAGGAGGGACTGTGGAGTGAGGAGTGGGAAAGGTATGAATCCTCTTTTTCTCCTCCCATCTATGGGTAAATAGCAGGACAGACCGGGTTCTATAGCCTTGAAAGAAATAGCAACCTACTGTACGCATGGTACATAAATGACTGGTTTTATTCAAGATTGGGGGCAAAGATAACATCTGCGTACATCTGGTACATCTGGTACTTTCAGCGTTGTTAAAAGGTATTAAACATTTATAAAGAGAACTAAAAAGGAAATCAAAAACCAATCAATATTGACCTGTCAAGAACCTGAAATGTGGTCGTATCTTTTGCCAATCTCCTTTTGATCGACTACCTATAATATTGGGTCTATTTGCTTTACTCATTTGATAACCTTACATTATTCATGCACAAG